TCACCAGTCCCTCCCTTAAGAGAAACATCTTTCACTAAAAAGAGTCAACATTTCCCGTCCAATATTCAGCTCAACAACTATGGGATGAAGTCATCTAACACAACCATCATTGGATAAGATGGACACAATGATCTTGTTTAGTAAAAGAGAAAGGAACTTGAGATGGAATTTTCCGCTCCTTTGTGTCTGGGCAATAAGTCAGAAATGGGAAATATGGTGAAAATGAAAAAAGTCTTGATGTCAAGAGAACAATTTCAGATTCTCTTGTTGATTTTTAACCTTGTGGTCAGAATCTCATTACTGAATGACAACTGCACTATTTCCACGTATTTGCATTTTATTAATGGCCCAACTCAATTCATTTTCTGAGATAACAAGGTGTAGAGCTGGATGAAAACAGCAGGCCAAGCTGTATCATAGGAGCAGGACGGCTGATGTTTCGGTAGCCTCAATTCATTTTCTGTGCAGCTTCCGATTTACCTATAGTTCCACAAGAAGCTAGATGGCAACAATGCCCAACATGAAAGTCAGAGCAGTTACCGAGCAACAGCAGCTTCTCTGAGCCACCAATTCACTCTGTTTTCATCACAATGTCCCTTCAAGATTCAGAAACACTGTGTTTCCCAATCCTTCGTTCACACATTTCTGCTTTGGCAAACCACCAGCCTCAGCAACACTCACGCCACGTCAGGACTTCATTTTGAAGCTCAGTGCACCTTGTTTGGTTCTGCTTTAGTGAGGTCAAGTGGGAATTACAGGCTGTGTTCAATCCCAGAGTTGGGCACTGTCAGTTAGGTACAACTAGAGTCTGTGTCCTTCCAGTGCAGGGATTGGGCCCCCTGGTTAGTCCTACAGGTGTTGGGTTTACAATAGGTCAGTCAGGCTGCTATGGAGACATCTTCTCCCATAGGAAACAGGGAGCGGCTGAGTCTGATGGAAGAGCAGTTAATGGTGTTGCAGGAGGAGGAGATGAGGTGGCCTCAGTGAGTGAGCCAGAAGCACTGAGAGCAGGAAAGGCGAGTGGCCTGGAACGATGAGGTGGGTGAGAGCTGGTGAGGTGACGAGATGCAATGCTGAGTGTTGTAGCCCTGGTGTGGATGTGAGTGCAGGGGCAGGTTGTGACTGAGTGTGAGGAAGCAGAGAGAAGATGGTGGCACGTAGCCTTGAGGAGTGCAGAAGATTATCGACTTCCTTCCTGTTCTGCTGTCCATTGCGTTTCACGTGGGACATTGAACTGACCTTGAGCAGCTTTCTCAGTCCAGGCTGACTGGTTCAGGTAGTGGGTAGTCTCCTTTGCCAATGAGCAGGAGACAGACCTGCCCTTGTCTCCATCAGGAACCTTCAGGTGCCTGTTGACAAACCAAACTTTCCTTTCTGGGCCGTTTCCTTGGAGATGACAGCACAGGACCTCAGTATGAACCAGCTCCTGGTTCACAGCATCTGGAGTGCTGTGGAACAGAGTTTTAAACAATGATGTGAATGCCTCAAAGCCCCATTAGAATTGACAATGTCTGACCCTCCTCCATGATTCCACGTGACAGGCACCACACAGGCTGGTTACATAGTTAATGAGACAGAATATTGCTTGAGAAAAGTCACCATGAACAGTGATGACCATGAATCTCGTTTGAAAATATACTCTACCTCAAAATGGAAAATTGAACCTTTGGAACTGAACCTTATATTTTCTTTGGTCAAGAGTGTGTTGCTTTGGATCTTTTGGAGGGTTTTTTGCCATGAGGTCCAGTGGGTTTTCTCACTGTATCTTACCAAACTCACCTCTTTGACTACCTGCCCTGCCCATATGGCGACATTGAGTCTAATTCCAGATCCACCTGACAATGTTCCATCCCCAGAGAAACTCCCAACTCAGCAAATATCCCAGAATTCACCGTCTTCCCTGGCTTTGGTGCCATTTTCAAAATCCCATTGTGCCCACAGACAAACACAGTCAGTCCAGAGCTGTCCTTCCCAGTAATTAGTGCCAGACATGGCAGATTAGTGCCTGCTTTGTGGGTAGAGATCTGGAGGTCCTTGCCAAAGAGGGTGACACAGAGCTAGGATGTCCACCTCCCTCAGGACCAGCAGAGGAGGTCACAACATTAAATGATGCCAACCTGGTCATGATTACCATCCGGTAGGTGCAATTGGAGCTGTTTGGAGTATTGCCCAGGACTGTAGGAAGAAGATCAATGACTTTCTCCTCTCTGCCAGTATAAATGCCACTATCTTTTCTCCAGTACCTCATACTCACTCTATCTCTGTTCCTGCACTCACCTCCCACTGAGGCTCATGCTCTACCACTCTCACTATTACCTGCACCATCGTCCTTCACTCACTCTCAACCACACCAACCCCTGACATCACTAACCCCACATGCCCTTGGTGCTGCCCACTCACTCATCTGGGATACCTCCCCACTTGCGCCAACTGTAAAAGCAGGCCCCCAATTTTATCTCCAATAATACCTGCCTCTCTCTCATTCCAGGAGCAAACCTGCCCACCAATAGGGCAGAAAGACTCAAGACATGGAAGAGGGCTGCCTGACATTGAGTTCCTCACCCTTTATGAGGAGAGCGTTCTGCTTCTGTAGTCAGCTGACTGACCTTGTCCAATCCGCTGGACTGGGTAGCAAAAGCTGCCCTTGACTTACTGTGCTGGAACCCCCTTAACAAAAGCTATCCCATTTGACTTGACCGAGACCTGCAGGCAACCATGACAAACTTTCTTCCTTTGTATTTGCACTAAATGTCAAGGCAAGACAGTAGTGACGTGACCAGGAATCTCTACCTGAGGAGCAAGGTGATAAAAAGCAGCAGTGTTGGTGGTGGCGAGGTAGACACAAGGTAGTCCTCAGTGTTCATGTGAAAACTAACACTGTGTCTTCAGATGTTGTCAATTAAGGGCAGCAAGTAGAGGAGAAATAGCAGGGGAAAAGGGCATGGATTGATCAGAGATAACAGTGCTGAAGCAGAAAAAGAAGCCATTGTAAACGAATGGACAGCTAAGCTTGGAATTGGTGAGTGCAGAAAAACCCAGAGCCATCCAACTAAACCAGGTCTGACACTGTCAGCTAGCTGTAACCTTCTGGTTTGAAGGAAGATTGCTTGGAAATGCTTGGTGTGTATCAAAGATTAACTCCCATTATCAGCAAGGTTCAAAACAGTCCAGCATCGGCAGTTCCTACTATCTCTGAATCAATCATTGCTTCCTCTCTCTGCATTGTTTTGCTGCTTCTTCACGTTAGTCCTGCGGATACTTTAAATGAAGCTCATGCCAGGGTGGGAGCAATTAGGAAATGTATTGGGAAAATTCCAATTACTTATTCACTTTTCCAATGCCTTTATACATTTGGTCAAAAGAAATGCTGGAAAATAACCCTTTGTAAAGTGAATCTGGGCTGTTCAGTATGTGGATGTAGGATGAATCAGGCCTCAGTTACATCCTTCACTTGTCGTTTGATGACACAGCAACTGCATCCACTGAGGTATCCATCAAGGCCCTGAGGTATAAACACTTCTGATTGGTCCACACTGGTTCTGCTGGTGCAGCGTAGAGAATTGAATAACCTTTTATCAGAGAGCAGGCCTGATCCACATCCTTTCCATCAAGCCTAAACCATTATTATGTAGTCTGGCCTACATGTGACTCCAGACCAAAGCAATGTGGCTGACTTTTAACTGCCCTCCAGGCAATTATTGATGGGCAGTAAATGCTGGCCCAGCCTGCAACATCCACATTCTGCAAATGAATGAAAATAAACTCATTGCCCCAGATCTGTTTCAGGGAGACTGCTGCCTGGGAGAAGTTTATTTTTTATTTGGAACATATTTTACGAAATATTTAACATTCATTGAGTAAATTCAAAACATTCTGATTCACTTCACAGCCAGTTAAATACGTAACATAGGGAAAATACCATAGCCAAACAACACACAGAGAGATCCCACAGCAACATAAATAAGCAGAAAAGATGTGTTTCTATTTGTTTATGAAAAGATAAACAGTGAGCTAGCAACTAAGGATGGTTATGTCACAAGCTACAGACCAGCAAAACCACATCAACTTCATTATTCATGTCATATAAACCAAAACATGCTGGTAATGCTCAGCATCTCAGTCAGTGAAATGGTTTCAGGCCATAATGACTTCTCATCAGGTGAAGGCCTATCTCCACCTGAACCATTAACTGATTCTTGCCCTGCTCTGGCCGTGTTTTGCTTTCTGAATGAATACTAGTGCACCAATTTTAGCAATGATTGTCAGGGGATCAGTCATCAGAGGGACCAGAATGATTTCACCGGCTGGTCCTCTCTCCAGAACTTGTAGCTGAGAATGCGTTGAGAATAGTGAACAGCACAGCCACTGTTAATGGGCTGAGGGGACCAGAAGGAGATGTTCAAGTTGTAGATCAGGTAAAATGAAGAGCCTGGGCTATGGTTAGTTGCCAGCAGTCGGGAGCACTGCTGGAACCTTCAAGTGATGTTGCTGTTGAGGTAAAATTGCTGGCCCTGAAAGGAGAGTCCGCCTAGAGCGACTCTGATCCTTTTCTTTGTCCATTCAGCCATTTGTCTATACGGCTGGCCATCTGATCTCTGTTCTGTCCCAAGCTGCAAAGCAACAACCAGCCCAGTAATGGACATCATCGGCCTTTGAGAATCTGAGAATCTGAGAATTGGCCTGTTCAGTCACATGAAGACCCTTGACAAAAACTCACAATGTCACGTTGTGGATCACAAGACAGGTGGCACTATCAGAACGCTGCACCCCACAAGCAGCACCCTGGCACAGGTTGAAAATCAAACCCCATAAATCCCCATCCTCCTGCTCCCGAAGCAGCCTAGTGGGTGAAACAGTGCCCTGAAACTGAATGCAGAACTGGACGAACACAGCAGGCCAAGCAGTATCACAGGAGCAGGAAGGCTGACGCTTCAGGCTTCTGATGAAGGGTCTAAGCCGGAAGCGTCAGCCTTCCTGCTCCTGTGATGCTGCTTGGCCTGCTGTGTTCATCCAGCTCTGCCCCTTGTTGTCTCAGATTTTCCAGCATCTGCAGTTCCTACTATCCCTGAAACTGAATTACTGTTTGAAATGGAGGGATATTAGGGATCTCATTGAAACTGGGGTTTTAAACTGGTTATTCTGTTCAATACCTGCCATCCCTCTCCATGGGGCTACCACATTAAATCTCTGTTGCAGATTTCTGAAGAAGGGCCCAGACCTGAAATGTCAGCTTTCCTGCTCCTCTGATGCTGCTTGGCCTGCTGTGTTCATCCAGCTCTACACCTTGTTATCTCAGAATCTCCAGCATTGGCAGTTCCTACTATCTCTAAATCTCTGTTGCAGTTCTATTGGTGTTTATGTGGCCCTCTGTACATTAGCAGTGAGTTAAAAAAGAACTATTCTTGCTGAGGATGGTAATAGTAGAACTGGATTGACATTATTTCAATCTCCAATATTTTAATTCGATTTAAAATTAGAATTTTGTAAACTTTATTTGGCAGATGCTATGTGGACAGACAAGCATTTCAACAGAAACAATACAGCGCAAGGTTTTAACGAAACTATCAAGCCTCAGAGTATAACGTGCATTGAGATGGAATTATGAAATATTGGCCTACTCCTGCTTCTACTACCATTCAGCCTCAGGTCTGCTTTATCATTCAAATAGACCATGTTCTGCCTCAGCGCCATTTCCTCCCATTATCTTCATATCCTTTTGATGTCCTCATTACTTAGAAATCTGTTGTTGTCTGTCCTGAACATACTCAATGACGGAGTTACCATATGTCATAGACTCACTGAGTCATACAGCATGGAAACAGACACTTCAGTCCAACCAGTTCATGCAGAAGAAAACTAGTTCCACCTGCCTGCTCCTGGCCCACATCCCTCCAAACCCATTCCTATTCATGTACTTATCCAAATGTCTTTTAAACATTATAATTGTACCCACATCCACCACTTCCTTTCTGCTCTGATCCCCAGAGGGTCAGGACTGGCTGGAAGATACCGACCAATGACCCATTCAGAACAAATCAAAGGTTATTCTCAGAGTGAAGACACAGTGTTATCAGGAGCTGGGATCCACTTGCTCCCAGCAGTATCTATCACAGGGAATCCATTCACGTGGCTCACTCAGCCGAAGGCAGTACTGCAGAGTGGTCCCAATGGTTTAACCAGGTCAAGTGATCAGGCTAACTGCAGGACCTCCTACAGACATTTTGTCAGCCAACTGTGAATCCCGCTTCCCATCATAAAAGTAATAGACTGATAATCTTAGCCAAAACTACAGCTTCTTTGAAAAGGGATTTATTAATGGGATGAAGGTGTCACTGGTGATCCCAGCATTAATTTTTCATCCCTAACTGCCTTAGAGAAAGTGGTGGCAAAACACCTTCTTGAACTGCTGTCAACCTTGGAGCATAAATACACCCACAACGCCGTTACGGAGGGAGTTCCTGGATTTTGGCTCAGTGACATGGAAGGGTCAGTGATATATTTCTAAGCTGGGATGATTGAGTGCTGATTCAGCAGTGAGGCCAGTTTATCAGTCTGTGCCAGTCTAAAGTTTCAGGAAGTGGTGGCCATCTCCAGGCAAGAAAATCAATTGTTGATTCACCCTTCATCTTCAATCTGGACTTGGAACTTTCTCTGTGTTGTTTGCTGTTTCCTGCTGAAAAGATAGAAGATCGCACAAAGTGGGTTTGGTGGTCATATGATGTGGTCACAAAACTATGTACTACAGGAGGCTAACAATCCGGAGAGTGTTTGAGTTCAAATCCCACTCCAGCTGTTTGGAAATCTGAAACCAACGTTAAAAATCTGGAGGTAAGGAGCTGGTCTCATTAATGGTGAGATTGATTCACTAATATTTTCATTCTTAGCCAGATGAGTTGATATGTGACACCGGTTCCATCTCAGTGAGGTGCAGTCTTAAACTGCTATTGGAAATGGTCCACCAAGCCTCTCAGTTGTATCAAACCCATTACTGGCATTTTCAGAAAAATATCCATCACCATTAGGGTAAGAAGCAGAAAATGTTAACAATGACCATGTTCCAAAAATAAAGAAACTTTATGCAGAATTTGATCCCAGGGGCTCATTCTGGGGAAGGCTGGGCTCAGGCAAAAGAAGGATTGCAGGCCTGGGAGTGATCATTTGTCTGGGGCCTGGTATGGGGAATGGGTTTGGAGGCCAAGGGGTTGGGATAGATCAGAGAACTTGGGAGAGGCTGGCGAGGGCTCTTGGTTGAAATAGAGGCCTGGCATGAGGTCTAGAGGCCTTAGTGGGGTGGTGAAGTCATGGGGATATGTCTAGGGGCCTAAGGGGAAGCTGGGAGCCCAGGAAAGGGGCTGGGGGGTTTGCGGTCATGTTCTTGATGAAAGGTAGATTTGGATTGGAAACAGACTTCACAGCTTGAAAGTTCGGCCCCCGGCCCCAACGCTATCCAAACCAAATCAGCCCTTTCCTTTTAGGTTCATATTGTCCTGGTGTCAGAAGTCAGACATATCAATCTCAGCATTTTTACAAAGAAATAGATTTGTTCAGAAGGACAGCCTCCCTGATGTGAAGTAACAAATCAGACATTATGTGAAGGTGAGAAAGTTCCTATCAATGCTCTTTGTTTGTCCATTGTGTGGCGACATAACATAACATGGACCATCATCAGAAGAAATACAGAATACTTATTGAATCGTATTATCAATAACATTACAAGACAAATACCTAAAATGAGTTGATCTAAGGAAAGGCTAGGCAGGCCAGGCCTGTAGATCCTGAGAGGACTTGACCGGGTGAATGTGATGCAGTGATTGTAACCAGGTCAGCCAGGTGGACCTCATAGAAAATACATTCCTTGATTGGACCAGATTAACAGCCCCAATCAGGGAGCTCCAGCTGACACATGTAAACGGGAGTGTCAGGGGTTCTGTTCACTCTGAGAGCTGGCTCTGAGGAAGCTGGATCAGTGTTAAGGACTTTACATGTGTAAATAAAGGGTAACTTGGTGATGGGATACTACGTTCTGTGGAGTTATTTCAGTGGTGACGAGAGGAAAGCACGATCTCAAAAGAAGTTCGCTCTCAGCAATCATCTGCTCACCTTTAAGGAGTCTATGTGCTCTGTGCGTGTATACAGTAATGCAACTCTGCCTGGGGTGTTAGTCTGTTGTGGATTTATAAGCTGCACACACACACAGAAATCAGTTGGTTTGCTATAATGTCTGTTTTATAACCTTTACTGTACTAACCCACAGGGTTAGTCAATCCCTGAAGAGTGACTATTAGACCATAATTAACGAGACGGATTACATCTCAGGAATTAGACATATGATGTCAAAATTTGTAGATGATACCAAATTCAGCGATTTACCTAATAATGTGGGGGGTCTGCAGAAAAATGTAGGAACTATAAACCGGCCTACAGAATGGTGAAGCAATTGCAAAGGAAATTCAACATCGCAGAATGAAGTGGTTCGTGTTGGTGGGAGTTATTAATCATTTCATCGTTGGAAGATGCAAAATGAAATGTGATGGAGGAGGAAAGACATCTTAAAGCAGAGCCATGGATTGTTAAAAGTGCTTACACAAATTGGTAAGATCACAAAAGCAAAACAAAAATACTGGGACTCATTTCTAGAGAAAGGAGATACTAAACGAGTATTTGACATCAGTGTTTACTGTGGAAAAGGATATGGAAAATAGAGAATGTGGGGAAATAGATAGTGACATCTTCAAAAATGTTCACATTACAGAGGAGAAGGTGCCTGACATCTTAAAACCCATAAAGGTGGATAAATCCCCAGGACCTGATCAGGTGTAACTTAGAACTCTGTGGGAAGCTAGGGAAGTGAATGCTGGGCGCCTTGCTGAGATATTTGTATCATTGATAGCCACAGGTGAGGTGCTGGAAGACTGGAGGCTGGCTAATGTGGCTAATTTAAGAAAGATGATAAGGAAAAACCAGGAAACTATAGACCGGTGAGCCTGACGTCAGCAAGATTTTGGAGGGAATTCTGAGGGACAGGAAGTACATGTATTTGGAAAGGCAAGGACTGATTAGGGATAGTTAACATGGCTTTGTGCGTGGGAAATCGTGTCTCACTAACTTGATTGAGTTTTTTGAGGAAGTAATGAGGAGGATTGATGAGGGTAGGGTCGTGGACTTGATCTGTATGGACTTCAGTAAGGTATTTGACAAGGTTCCTCATGGTAGACTGTTTAGCAAGGTTAGATTCTGTGGAATACAAGGAGAACTAGCCATTTGGATACAGAACTGACTTGAAGATAGAAGACAGAGGGTGGTAGCGGAAGATCACTTTTCAGACTGGAGGCCTGTGACCAGTGGTATACCACAAGGATCGGTGCTGGGTCCACTGCTTTTCATCATTTATATAAATGATTTGGATGTGAACAAAGGATGTATGGTTAGTAAGTTTGCAGATGACAGTGAAATTGGAGGTGTTGTGGACAGAGAAGAAGGTTACCTCGGAGTACGATGGACTGAGGAATGGCAGATGAAATATAATTTAGATAAATGTGAGGTACTGTATTTCGGAAAGGTAAATCAGGACAGGACTTATACACTTAATGATAAGGTCCTGGGGAGTTATGCTGAACAAAGAGACCTTGGAGTGCAGGTTCATAGTTCCTTGAAAGTGGAGTCACAGGTAGATAGGAAAGTGAAGATGGAGGTTAGTATGCTATCCTTTATTGGTCAGTGCATTGAGTTTAGGAATTGGGAGGTCATTTGGGGCTGTACAGGACATTGGTTCGGCCACTTTTGGAATACTGCATGCAATTCTTGTCTCCCTCCTACAGGAAGGATGTTGTGAAACTAGAAAGGGTTCAGAAAAGATTTACAAGAATGTTGCCAAGCTTGGAGGGAGAGGCTGAACAACTGGGGCTTTTCTGCCTGGAGAATTGGAGGCTGAGGGGTGACCTTATAGAGGTTTATAAAATCATGAGGAGTATGGATAGGGTAAATAGACAAGGTCTTCTCCCTGGGATGGAGGAGTCCAAATCTAGAGGGCATAGGTTTAAGGTGAGAGAGAAAAGATTTACGAGGGACCTAAGGGGCAACTTTTTCATTCAGAGGGTGGTGCATATATGGAATGAGCTGCCAGGGGAAGTGGTGGAAGCTGGTACAATTACAACATTTAAAAGGCATCTGGATGGGTATATGAATAGAAAGGGTTTAATGGGATATGGGCCAAATGCTGGCAAATGGGACTAGATTAATTTAGAATATCTGGTCGACATGGATGAGTTGGCCCGAAGGGTCTGTTTCTATGCTATACACCTCTATGACTCTAATAGGACACAAAACTGAGAGATAATAGCATTTATGTAGAACCTTGGCTAGTTGGCTTTGAAAATTGTGTAATTCCATTTGTTACAGTACAAAAAGAGTATACTGAAGCACTGGATACAGTATTGAAAAGACTCACAGGAAACTGAAAGAATGCAACTATCAGGATAGATTGTACAGGTTGAGAAGTCTTTCCCTGGGAAACAGAAAACTAAGTGTCGACCTGGTAGAAATCTTTCAAGCTAAAGAAAGATTTGACAGGATGTATGTAGGGAAACTGTTTCCACTTTTAGAGGAAGTTTAAGGTAATGAAACATAAACATAACATTACCGAGAACAAAGGGCATGGAATATTCCACAGAGTTCAGATTCACAGAGTGGTTGAAACATTGATGCATTCAGGGAGAGTCCTGATGTATATGAGGGGAATGTAGTGATAGACAGGTTACAGAGATGGGAAGAGGAAATGACAGTAAAAAGGTTTGAGGAACTGTATCTCTATAACAGAGCAATTGGGTTGAATGTACTGTATTTACGGTATACGTAGATTTATGGTACATAATGATTGCTGAGATGTGACCCTAACTAGTTGGAACCTGTTGCCCCTCATTAGCCACCACTCTTCCAGATTGCTGACTGGGCATGATGTAGTTGGTGCCCACCTGTACACTGAAACTGGGCAGGTGCCAACAAGTCTCCCGGAGATACTGGCTCCCAAAGCCAGTAATCTGTTTGATCTGATGGCCACACAGCCCTGCTACCTTCGCCGTAAAATCGAGTGTAAAAGCAAACTTGACCAGGTCAGGGTTCTCCTGCGTCACCTTGCTCCTCACTTCACTTTGGATGTATTGATCTGCCAGTTCTTTGAAGGAATTGTAGCTGATCTCCTTGAAGAATGTGGAAAGCAACACATCTCCTTGGAGCTGCCAGAGATAAATGAGAAATCAGGAACTCAGTGAGATTTTGTGACTGAAACTAAAGTTGTTTTTGTAACATCTGTAATTTATAATGAACTACTCAAAGCAAAGTTTTTAATAATTATATACACATCAAAAGACTGGAATCAAATACAGAATATTTCTCCTGTTATACAGATGCATATGTATCTATATCTTATTAAAAATCAGCTTTCTGCACATGCTTTCTGTCAATCAATCTTTATTACTTGTTGCTGTGGCACTGTTACACTTTCTGTATAACTCTTCTCCCCAGATTCCTACATCCAATCTGATAATGGAAACTGCCTCTGTAAACATTGGATCGACGTCATCTTGAAGAGAAAATACCTCCTTTCAGCCCAGTTTCAGGGTCAGTGTGCATCAGGTCAATACTGTTCAATTGTGAATCACATAATGCTAGCATCCAAATTCAGCAGGTCATAGAGAAGGCAAATAGAATACTGGCCTTTGTTTCAAAGGGAATGGAGTATAAAAATAGGGGGAGGGGGTGTTGCTCAAACAGTGCCAGGCACTAGTCAGACCACAGCTGTGAACAGTACTGGTTGCCTTATTTAAAGAAGGATACACTGGCATCAGAGGCAGTCCAGAGAAAGGTTATAGGCTGAGACCAGGTATGGATGGACTGTTTTATGAGGAGAGGTTGAGTAGATTGGGGTGTCTACTTGTGGAATATAGAAGAATGACAAGTGACCTTATTGAAACAGTTAAGATTCTTAGAAGACTTGACAGGCTAGATCATCATCGGCAATCACTCACTAACAAGTCTGATTGTCCACCTAGGAAATTCCATGTCACCAGGCGTGGGTTCCGTGGATCCCTGTGTGGCTGACACGCCCAATCCTAGAGTCTCACCTCCAAGCACACATTTGGCAGGTGTTTCCAGGAGATAGAGGTGGTCCACGGCCTTGAGATCATTGACATTCCTTTTTCCAGTTTCTTTTCTGTCCCTTCTCTTATTGACAGGTGTTCTCAAAGAATTGTGTCCCTTCATACAGGAGCTTCCTCCAAGCCAGTTTGTTCTGAACAAGGATCTCCATTCATTGATGTCTATGTTGACCTCTTGAGGGGATCCTTCAGGGAATCTTTGAAACACTTCTTCCATCCTCCTCTTGTTTGAGTTCCTTCCTTGAGCTGAGTGAAGATGATTTGCTTTGGCAGTTGGAACTCAGGCATCCTAAGCACATAGCCGGCACAGCAAAGTTGGTTTTGGATGATCATGGCCTTAATACTGGTGCTATTGGCTGCTTCAGGGATGCTGATGTTAGTATGCCTGTCCTCCTAGGTGTTGTGGAGAATCTCTCTCAAACAGAGTTGCTGCTACTTCTCAAGGGTCTTGAGGTGGCGTCTATATGTGTTCCCAAGTTTTGGAGAAATGTATAGGAGTGTGAAGAATGACTGCCTTATTCTCATGGATCTTGGTATCAACACGGATGTCACCTTTGAAGACTCTCAGCCTTAGGAGTCCGAAAGCAGCACTTGCAGATTGGATGTGATGTTGAATCTCCATTCAACATCTGTCTTAGATGACTAAGTCTTCCCAGGTATGGGAAATGTTCCACGTTTGGGAGGATTTCTCCATTGATTTTGATGGAGCGATGGGTCGGAACCTGACCGGCATGCATTGGTAAGAGGATTTCAGCCCAGAGAAAGAACAGAATAGGTATAGAAAGACTGTTTCCCCTTCTGAGAGAGTCTAGGACCAGAGGGCATAATCTCAGAATAAGAAGTTGGAAATTTAAGAAAGCGATGAGGAAGAATTCCTTCTCTCAATGGGTTGTGATGTTTCTTACAACAGAGAGCTGTTGAGGCTGGGTCACTAAGTATATTCAAGGCTAAGATAGACAATTTTTAGTCAGTAATGGAATCAAGAGTTCTGGGGAGATGGCACAAAAGTGGAGTTGAGGGTCATCAGATCAACTGTGATTTGATTGAATGGCAGAACAGTCTCAATGGGCCAAATGGCCTATTTCTGCTCCGGAGTCTTATGGTCTTATAATACAATACTGTTTCTGTGGGGCAGGTCAATACTGTTTCTGTGGGGCAGGCCAATACTGTTTCTGTGCTGCAGACCAATACTGTTTCTGTGCAGCAGGTCAATACTGTTTCTGTGGGGCAGACCAATACTGTTTCTGTGCTGCAGGTCAATACTGTTTCTGTGCAGCAGGTCAATACTGTTTCTGTGGGGCAGGTCAATACTGTTTCTGTGCTGCAGGCCAATACTGTTTCAGTGGGGCAGGTCAATACTGTTTCTGTGCTGCGGGTCAATACTGTTTC